AGAAATTTAGAATTTTTAATGGATTGTTTTTAATTATTCAATGATTTCCTTCATTATTGTTTACGTTCTGTCTGTGTTGATTTTGATGGAACTTCTCAATGTCTTAACCTCTAATTATTTATCGTCACTGTCGAGTCATAATAACATTGACGTTCCACGATCGAACAAAACGATAATGATATCGCGGTGGTATCATCCACTGCATTGGAATCACGATCGTGTCTCGTTATCTGCCGCGGAATCCGATTGTTCGATCCGCTTCATCGAAGTTTGCTTTGGAAGGAGATTAGGTGTCGCTTGTGTGAACGCCACGCGATTTTCATTGCTTTTATTCGGTAACGATCACCTTGTTACGTAAGTTGCTTTGGTCCGTGACTAGGAGCACGTTGCTCATACCTCTTCCACGAATTTTGTAAATCCTGATGTTATTGCAAAGATTGATCGATAAAAAAAATTCTAAAGAAATTTTATTGCTATTTAGAATAAAATTTTATTCGAGCATTTCGTAATAAAATTCAGAATAAAATTTATCCAACTAAATATCTGCTATATTTTAAAAACTAAATCGCACTTTACATTGATGTAATTCGCCAGTTGCACGGTTGATCAATCAAGAAAATACGCTATCTTGTGCAATTTAGTTGCAGTTCTTCGAAAAACGGTTAGAACCATTAATCGTAAAACCCTTTGCGATCGTGCACGCTTATACAACGATCGACGCTGATACCAGCGCTCCGCTACGAATCTTACGTAACCGGTCGTTTAATGTTTGAACAAATTGTACGATGTAGATTAAACATGGTTCATTAGATGGCATTCGCGAACAGCTGACCTGTTTGGAAACGGTGCAGAGAATTCATGAGATCGGTACCTTTATAGAAATTAAGGATGACAGCGGGTCGGTTTTGATTTATTGCGGTTTGGCGATCTGCCTTCGGGAGATCGGTATAATCTTATGATATGATATAATCTAGCAATCAATACGGAATATTTAAATCACGTTTTTGCCGGTTTTTTGTGGCAGTATAGTAGACACGTTGAAAAGAAGTTACGGCGGATATCATGATTAATCGTTTTGTTGAATCGGTTATAAAATAAAGCATGAGATATAGGAATCGTATTAAACATTATATACGTCGTGTTGACGACGTTAAACGTTATATACATATATAATCTAGCTTTGCAACTAATTCTTTGAGAAATAAATTGATAAGTGAACGATTTAGAAACCAGATGAAGTTTAATATCGTTTGTTCGTGATTTTTTAAATAGTTTTTAAATAACATCGATTTCACAACCCACTATGGATTCCACGTTCGAGTTACTCAGCAGGAAAGTTATAATATGATATAATGTAATCATCATTTCATAATTGCTAGGGATACGTTTTACCAGTTTATATAACTGGGATGAACGGCGAGCAATCAAAAATCTTGCGTAAGTCATCGCTTGTATCCCATTTGGACATTTATTCGGTCCGATGAATTATCTGGATGCTCGATCGATGCGTAAGTCTATATAACTGTATTATATACCTGAGGAAGAGGGAGGGAGAAAGAGGGGAGAGAGAGAGAGAGAGAGAGAGAGCTGGATGCCATTTCCGATCTGATATTCACCATTTTTAGACGAGTTACGCGGCTTGACCTTGAAACGTAGACGCCAACAAAAAATTATATTAATCATATCTGGACGAATTTTCTTATGCAAATAAAATGGAAAGGTCAAAAGATATGTCGAAATATACCCATGATTGAGGAATATGTAAGTATATTTGAATTACTTTTGAATAATTTTTAAAGAATATATTTTACGTAGATAGGTTATGTAACGATTTAGAATGTTATCAAGACTTAAAATAAAATATGCAATGCAAAATATATTCGATTCTTTCGATAGTATATATTTTTCATTACGCGTAAAAAATTTTAAATATGAAAAAAAAGAACTTGAGTTTTTTGTATAATATAAAATAAATGTATTAATAAACAAAATATAACATTGTAATATATTTCATTTTCTTCTTTCTAACTTCTTCTAACTGAATTGAAAAAGTAATCTTTTTTTTCTGTTTATTTTTATTATTATTTTTACATCAAAGCGAAAAAAAAAATCTTCGATTTTTGGAAAATTATTATTCATAAATTATTATTCATAAATAATGAATATTTCATAAATATTTTTTGAAATTTTTTAACGAAATTTTGAATATTTTTTAATAAAAGTTTGCATAATTTCGAAATAATTAAAATAAAAAATGATAGTAAATATCATTACTTTTTCTTCTTTTATCATAACACCCTAATAAAATTATAAAATATTAAAAAATGTTCTCACAGTCAATCAAAAAAAAAAATTTTTAATTAATAAAACTCATTCCAATCAATTTGCCCTATTTTAAAAAAATCTTAAATTGACTTGACGATTACTCGAAATTTCAGATTGTTCAAAGCACGAAAAGTTATTCATCAATTTCTAGTGACAAATTAATAAATTGAAATCACTAGAAATGCTGGCCTCTAAAAGTAGATTTACGCAGAAAGGAAACGGGATTGGACGAGAACGCTAGCGACGATCGTTCGAAAGGAGAAGAATCTACGTGTGACTCGTCGTCTTTTACCGGAAATGAAACATCACGGTCTAATAAAATACAATGTCTGTGGTACATGAGACGGCCAATGATAGCGTGCGAGGAGACATTTTAATTAAGGGAAAAGTGCTCTTACCACGCGTTTATTGCCTGCTTCTTCGTCACAAAGCGTAAACGGCACGTTAGTTTGATGAAACACATGCTGCGTTTATACAAGGATACTCGATGTTCGCGTTGAAATATAAATGTGATTATAGCATGTGTATTCGTATTAACCTGATATTTGTATAACGAATATATATATATAACATTGATTAAATTGGTAAATTAGTATACTCATATGGTATATATACATGTAATATAAATGTAGAATAATTTTTATAGAATAGAGCATATTAAAAATTATTATTATATTTTTGTACGAATTAGAGATAGATAAAAATCTTATTTTTTGATATTTTTAATAAATCTTAATTTCTGAAATTCTTTAATAAAAAATTTATTATTCTTTAAGATAATTATATTAAATAAGAAATAATAAATATTGATTAATTTCATATCTTTATGAAAAACATAAATGTTTGATTAGTTTTTGTAGGTTAAGAATCAAGTTAGGAAGTAAGTAAACAAAAACTGAAATTTCGTATTTTTTGAAATCACGAATAACGAATATTAACAAATAAATTTATAAAAAATTAATTGACGAATAATTACATATAAATATTCGTAAAAGTTAACAAATATATATTTTAATACCATCATATAAATATGTGAAAAATATTTCTTTATGATTTGCTCTACATTTTGTGTTCTAACCGCGGAATCGATTGCTAGAATCTATTGTGGGAAAGATTTCAATTTATATAACGAGCAGATATTGCCGGTAGATAAGAATGCCTCGTAACGTTTCGTCGCGTTGTTGGAAGTCTTGTTGGTCGATGGGTGAACGTTCAACGAGTTGGAGGCGTTTCAAACGATTGAAGTTTACAATGTTCGTAAAGACGACGTGAAAGATTTAGTGAAACCATTTGTTTCGTTAAAACGAAGTTAAAGAGGCTAACGTCTCGTACTGTTATATCATTTAAGCTGATGCTAGCTATTCACTATTTATATTCCGAATTTCAATTTTATATAACATTTATTCCATAATTAATATATTTGAAATTATTTTTTTTATCTTATATATGAAATCTTTTTTTAATAAGATAATTAATTTAGAAATAATAATTTATTGATACTTATGCAAAATTTAATACAAAATACACATTATGATATTTGAGAAATAAAACAAATCTCTATTCAAACTTCATTTTTATCATTTATATTTTTATATTCACAAAAATCTGATTTTACAGTCTAATAATTTAATCGATAATTCGATAAATTTTCGACGAAAAAATTCTTTAGTCCAATCTTTAAATTCAAAAAATTATCTTATGAGATAATAAAATAAAAATTTCTAAGAGTTTTCTAATTTTCTAAAAGTTATATCACAAATTGTCTATAACAAACGATACACAAACTATATCTCGCGCCACGATCTTCGACGTAAAACTGTTCGGATTGAATTTACATCGACAGGCCACATGGTAACGTTGCTTTTTACGAGTTCGTGGATTTCTTGGCTGATTTCCTCGATAATTATGAGACTGGAGAATTGCGTTTAGCCCAGCCATGTATCACTGGAGAACGAACAGACCGAACCAACTCGTGCTAAATTGGATCATATTACGTAAGCTTACACGATTAAAGAACCCCGGGACAAATCCGTGCGTCGACTTTACGAGTTTCAATTATGAACTCCAACGTAAACGTCTCGTTCTCTTATGAGAGAGGGAGGAAAAAAGAGGAGAATAATGAACAGAAACTGTCAGATTACGCTGTTAAATGTTGCAGACGTTTTAATCGTGCACTTTAAAATTTTGTTCTATTAGCAGCATGTCAGCATTCACGTTGATATTCATGTTATTTCATTTAGTTCTTGAATAATTTAATTTTTTGTTTGAATAAAAAATGTATTTTATTATTATTTAGGGTAAACGTAAAAAGAATTAAAAATAATTACTTTTTATTCCTTAATTCTGTTACGTTCATATGTTCCATACAATATTTTTCAATTGATTAAATTTTTATAGAAATATGATAGAATCATTATTCACACATGTCGTTTCTCATATGTCTTATCTTGCATGCTAAGTCTTTTTTATTCACTTCACAAAAACGATTGACTAATCATCGATTCGAATCTAATTCATATCGATCCGTCGCAACAATGAAATATCGATAGTACACGTCGATTTTCTTATTTTAACGTTCGTTCTAAATACACTTTCTTCATCTTCCATACAAATTACTTCATTTTAATGATATTCTTACCATTAATATACCAACGATCGCGACCCAACAATTTTCTTTCGAATTGCATACCACTCCGGCCAAATGTAAAGTGTCGTAACTCTTTCACCAAGGCGAGAGGAATTAATTTCTTAACGGGACCCCGTAACTTTTCTATCGTATCTAATATTCCAATTCACCGTCGCTAGATGGCAGCGCGACCCGAATTGTGTATTCGTTTAGTCGTAAATTCGCGTTATATAAGGGATTATTTTCAGGTTATAATACTCGAGTACTGGTGATATCAATCAGAATAATTTGAGACGATTTATAAATATGTGTGGACTCCAGAATGTGACGCGATGAAGACGATCGCGACGAATATACTATTTTTGTTGCCGCTATATACAAGATATGCGGATGAGGTAGGTAGAAAATTGAAAGGATGATTCTGGAAGTTAAAATAAACGTAGAGGTTATATACAAAAATGCTCGTTGGATTTTATTTTTTAGGTTTCAATAGAACATTGATTATTTAAAATATAGATACACATAAGATATGTGTGATATATTTAAACTAGCATATCTGAAAATTATTAATAATTAATTCTGGTAATTATATATTCTTTTACATAATAAATATTCATATTTAAAAATTATTTAATTTCTCTTTCGTAAATTTATTTTTTCCTAAGCAATTATTTCGAAAGAATTTATCTGTCAATTAATTTGGATAATCGATAAGTCGATTATCCATTAATTTAAAGTGTCTTATCGAAAATGTTGATTATCCGTTAATATAAGTATCCGATCATTCCATATTGATTTTTTCTAGAATATTCGAAAATAAATGACTCACGAATTTTTCCTCTTTTTTTTAAGCTCGTAAAATAAAAAAAAATATTAAATTTTAAATTTTGATCTATTAAATCTTCATCTTAATTCAAAGATTTTATTTATTAATGTAATTCAACCGTATAATTAAATACTCAATTTAATTCGAAGAAATTAGTTTTTCTCAATTTCAGGTACACGATTGAGCATCTCAAATTTCAACGAAATAAAGATCTTGATATTTATTTCTCGAAAACAAAAGCGACATTTTCATTACTCTCGAGAATATACACATGGGCACAAGAGGAAAGAAGGAATTTTGCAGAATGCATCGCAAATGCATCCTGTTGGTTCGATCGTACGACTCTGACCTTGTCTGGATGTTCACCCCGCGCGGTTCGTTCGCTCGATGCTGGTTGAATCGACTTTGGGGCCGAGTCGGCTCTCACTTATGTAATTCGAAGCGGGTCACGGCCAGACACTCGAAAAACCCGCCTTTCTCTGCCGACATTTGAATCGGCCGCATTGCAGAACGCTAGGTAATACCGTTTCCACAGAAAACTTTCGCGATAACTTGTTTCGTCGCGATCGTGGTATATTTGATTGTGATTAGACATTACAAAAAAAAAAAAGATAAACAAAACTTGATTTACAATTTATTTATGTTTTTCTTAAAAAAAATTAATAATAATAATATAAAATATATAATATAATAAATATATATTATGTAGCTTTATATAATTTATAATATACATATACAGTTTATAATACAACAATTATATTTAATTTCACTATTATCGCTTATCACAATATGATGACTTCTAACAACAATCTTCCATACTAACCTCTTGTACATGTTCCAAAAATATTTTAAATTAACATGAAACACGAAACCAGAAAATTAATGGAATAAGTTCAAAGTCATTGCTTGGAAGTCTATTATTCATTTCCTTCGTTCCAATGTCATCAATTCGGACAATTAATTTCATGAAGTTTTAACTTAAAAAGATTCCCTAGTAAAATGGTTCTTGCTCCATTATTTCAGCAATATTCGACGTACTGTTTTACATTAAAAAAATTGTTCAAGGATACTAATACAATTTATTCCATCGATATCAGTGACAATGCTTTTAAAAATTAAAATTAAAATTATGTCATTGCGTTAATTTACCCGCATTGCAGGATGCTGGACCAGTCGTTTGGCAAGAACATGTTGGCTAAAAATTAATAACAAGTATTATCCGCAATAAGAGATATCGATCGACGGATACCATGAAACGATCATAATCATCTTAGTAGCAATGAGGAACGGAACTGGTTTTATGAGAATATTATCCGATATGTTGAGGTGAACGTCAATTATGAAGGTATGAAGAAGATAAGTCTATTTTTAGATCAATTCCGGTTATATATGTAATTATAGAAGAATATTATAGAAGAATTGTGAAACTACGGAAATATGAGAGATTATATCATATTTTTCTGAAACTTAAAAAATTGACTAATTATAGAAAAATATTAGGGAGAAAATAACACGAAATATAGGTTAGTTAAATTACCATTATCGTTTCTCTCTTATTTCACTTCAAATTTTTAGAAAAATATAAAAAACTCATATTACAATCTAACATTTTATCAAATACAGAATAAATTAGTCTTTCTTCGAAAAAAAAGAAAAAAAATTTACAATTTCTCCTTGACCTGAGCTCGACCATGAAAGCTCTGCTTATGTTTCTCTTTTTAAGGTTCGTGTATTAAACCAGCAATGTCACGCACGATATTACCGGCTGGAAACGAATCTTTTCTAGAAGGAAGAAACATAAAAGTAAATTGGAAAGCGTGTGGAATTAAATTGGAATCATGCATGCCATGGTGCAAGATGATTTTTTAGAATGGCACACGATCGTAAAAAGCCGGTTTTACGCATACGAAATAATTTATGTAATTCAGAGCCGGGGGTCGTGGTAAAATTAGCCAACCCCGTGTACAAATATGCGAAGCGGCTTGGGCGCCGCCATCCGTGTATTTACAAACGCATCATCATTCTATAAGTGTAAGTTTTACGATCAAACATTCATGGAATCGGATCATATTATACGAAAATAAAAGAAAGATTTTGCTGTATGATACATGTGCGTATGAAAGAGAAATTATAACGGTGAGTTGACATATATATATATTTTTTGAAAAAGAAATGTGAATTGAATTTATGGTAAGAAAAAATGAAAGGAAAAGAAATAATTACGTAATTACATGATTTTACAGTTTTTAAAATATTAGAAATAATGAGAAGAAATAAATAATGGAAGCTAAAAATAATATACAACTTTTTATATAATTTTATAATTTTTAAAAGGATATTCAAAAATATATTGAAAATTTCAAAGAATAGAAATCTATGTTATAAATTTATAATTTAAAATAATACAATGTTTCAATATTAGAATTTTAATATAACATTCAATAATTGAATTATTATATATCATTCAGCACGTAAACGTACAGTTTATAATATAATACAACAAATAATTTGATAATTATAAATAAGATTCAAGTTAAAAGTAAAATTTAAATAATTTATTATTCTATTAAAAATTTCCATTAAATTCTAGATATAATTGTATCTTGTATACATTATAAAAGAAAGTCATTCCTCAAAAAATTGAAAAATACTGTCATAACCAAAACAATTTTCAACAAAATTTATTTCACAGTCTCACAGCGAAGATAAGAATCACAAAAGAAACAATCATATCGTCGCGATCTCGATGACAAATCGTGGTGAAACCGCAATTTGATGTTAAACCGTTGTTGGCGTAAACCGATCGCGACTACGACAATCCGTTCCAAGCCGGTTAAGGGCGCAGGCTCGATTTGCAAAGCGGATTTTCTCGTGAACAAGCGTTCTTCTTTCGCAATTAGGAAACGTTTGGCGTGAAACAATGAACCTCGTCACCTGATATTTTCAGAAAAATGATCGTGGGTAAATCTCGAACTCATTTCTTGTGCCATGGAATTTGTATAATTTTAACAATGAGCGTTACGAAAGAAACGAAAAATATTTTCTCTATAAATTTTATTGAAAATGTTGATTTTTTAATATGTTAAATACGCAATATATTGGTAATAGTTAGATTGCGAATATCTTTGCAAATTCAGATATATTTTTAAAAATATCTAGTCATATGTTTTATGAAGAAAGTATATAATTTTTTGTCTTCTGTTCATGTAATGACTGAAAATTATAATTCAAATATTAAATCGTGAGATTTTTATAACAAAAATATATTGAATTTGTAAGACAGTAATTGTTAAGATGATATGTAAAGTTAAAAATTGCTCGAGTCGTCGAAGCTTCACAGCTTAACCTCAGATTGACAATCTTGAAGGTTAACATCGTATAAAGCTTACGTTTAGCTCGAAAACTTAAGATTTAAGGCTTTTGAAGTTAAAGCAAATAAATTAACTAAACTTTATACGATGTTAGACTCAACTTTTAAAGTTGAACTTTAAAACCTTTGAAGATTTAAACTATATGTTAATATCATCATTGTTATTTTTTAAAAATTAAACATGATCATATGTCATTATATTTAATTACGATGATACTTTTGAGTTAATTAAGTTAAATTATTCTTAAAAAAATTTTTTATCCATGATTTCTTTACAATTATTTCAAATTTCAATCATAATTTTATTAGACTTTAGAATAATATTATAACGTTTTGAATTTCTCCAACTATTCCAATATAGCTGGCTACATTGCACGTAACCTTTCATACTCGTTTCTATTGTCGAGCGTTTGAAGATCACTCGAAAGTGACGAAATCGGCGTGCATTATACCAAGTAAGTGCCACCAACCAACCTCTTAGACGAATCTCACGTTACGAAATGTAATCAAGATGCGCACTCCTGTAAAAAAGACAGACTCCCTATTTCGTCGCGTACGTGCATGCGCAGAAAAGAAAATTTCGCAATGGCCGACATAATAACAATTTTATTTAGATCGCTTAAAAATCAGATTTGAATGATTCGTGGGTGATGTGAGAGAAGAAGTTAAGTGAGATTGTGGAAGAGATATTGAAATGTTCGATTGGATTGATGTCTAAGTAAGAAAGCGTTTAAAAGGAGTTATTCAGTACACTTTACTTATTTCATTAACAAATCTAGGTTAAATATTTAAGTTGTAAATTGTAATAAAAATAACATTACTGAAAATTTTTAAGATAAGGTAATTTTTTTTGCAAAAAAACTTTCGTTTCAGCTTTTTTAATTAAGTTAAGTTGTAATTGTTAACCTTTTGTATTAAGTCAATATATGATTTTTGTTTTACAATAAATTTCCGATAAGAAGTATAACAATTCATAATACAAAAAATAGGAAAATAATATCATTTAATTACGGTAATAGAATTAATTAATAAAAAAACACTGGTCAGAATGTATAACTATCAAGTATTTCGAAAAGAAAAATTTTATTTAAAATTATTTTAATAATCTGAAGCGATGATCCCATTTTTTTTATTAATATATTATGTTTAAAATCAAGAAAAAATACTTATAAGTTATAAAGTTAAAAAATACTTATAAAGTTTCAATAATTTATAATCTATAGTCATGATTCTAAAACGTAATATACAAAATATAAATTTTTAGATATTAAAATTATTCCTGATATTAATACTATTCCTATTTCGCAATATGCCAAATTTCGCTAACTTTCACGTATTGGTTGTTGCAGTTTCGAATTACGAAACGAAGATAATCGGCCGAGATAAGAGCAATTCGCGAGAACTAGCGTGACATTTGTCGTTTTCGATTGCGTATTATGCTCACTGCAAAAGGGAATGCTGGACGTGAACGAAATTGCAATTATCGACTAATGATATTCTTGTGATTTTTTTTTCAAATAAATCATTCTCGTGTTTAATAGACATTAATTATTGAAAATTGATATGTTTTTACGTAATTGAACATATGTGAAAATTTATTTAAAAATTTCTGTAAATTAATATTTTTCAATTTTTTGTTTTTGTGAATGATGTGAATCTTTCTTTTTAATATTTAAATAATTTGTAACTATTCTCATATAAAATAAGAAAAATTAAAAAAATATACAATTGATAATTATTTATATTTTTCAGTATTTTTCAATCTTTTTGTGTGATATTTAACTAATGCTTTCATGCAGGTAAGAAAAATTTAAAAAATAATACAATTGATATTTTCCAATCTTTTTTGATTTACAAATTATTATTTTTTTTTTAATATTTAAATAACTTCCAACTCTTCCTATATAAAATAAGAAAAATTAAAAAATCAATATAATTTTATTATCTTCTTGTAGATCTCGATCTCCAATTTGAAAACCATTGGTACAAATCATATTTTATCAATAACAAATTGACGAACGATGATAAAGAAATGAAAGAAAAGCAAAAACAAGATGTAATCAAAATTTTGTCATTTTTTTCAATTCAACTTTCATTTCATCGCCATTTTTTGATGGATGATTCCGGGCCCACTTTGTATCATCTTCTCTAGCTATATCTTGAGTTACATCATCCATGACGTTAAGTGTCACTGAATCACTTTCCGTCCACTGATCAACGGATGACCTCATTTGACTAATAAGTTTATGAGTCAAACTGTTATATTAAGCCAATCATTGGACGATCCTTTTTAATTCTTTTGCTCTCCAATTGTGTCCTTAAATGTGTATTTACACGATCGATGAAAAACGAGAGAACGAAAATGGAATTCGTATTATTACATATCAAGAAGAGACAATATTTTTTTTCTTGGTTATCTCCAAGTTATTGATAATTATTACTTTTACGTAACCGTTTGGAAACTTTGGAAAAGGTTAATACATCACGAAGTCATCAATTGCACGTTTCTTATTTATCTTTTTCCTTTCGTGTTATATAAATGTTTAGATAAGAGTGAACTTCATCCTGCTTTTGATTTTACTCTAAAAGATAATTGTACTGTTAGATGCAAAACTTTTTTTATAATAAAATATGTAATTATTTCTTTCTTTTTTTTTTTATAGATATCCTGTAAATTTCATTGTTGATGAAGGAATATGTTTTGCAAGTTATTGGCCAATGAACACTTATTTTTTTTGAAGAAATTTATCTATAAAAACTATCACAATTGTCATTGAGGATCTCTTTCTATCCAACGGTTTTTGAAATTTTTATGAAAAATCATCGATAATTTATATATATTTATAAATGCTGATGAAAGAGAAACGATTTGGTTGAAATTAAGTCGAGTCACGTAGCAACATTAAACAAAGATTAGAGACGTTGAATAAATTTTTATTACTCATTCATCGCGATTAAATCATCCTTCAATATCAATAATATTTATTCATTAGAAATATAATTGCTGAAAGCAATTTTACAATGTATCCATAATTCTTGATAAAATTACGGCCAAAATAGTTTGCTTTAATTATTACTTACATCCATCAAATAATAATTATTAATATTTATGTAAATATGAAAAAAAATTTATATTAAGCACGATTAGAGAAAAATGGATAAACTATACATTATATAAAAAGTATTTTTATACTTTTATAGAAACATATCTTCAAAGAAAGTTCCTGTTTTTTAAATAGATAAAGATTATCATTTTTCTAATAATTTTTTAATTCAGTAGAATATTAAAGCACATTTATATAACCAGGTTGTTCATTAACACGTTTTCTGGCGTCATAAATTTAGAAATAATTTTGCAAGTACAATAAATAGACAATAAATAGAATTTTTATGAATGTGATTAAAAAAATGAGAATTAAATAGACATTATGCTTTATTCCTCGAATATCATAATATCTATTTTGTTTTCAATATTATTTGTGTGTCTTTTTGGTTCATCTGCATTTTACAAGTTTTCATAATATACAAAAATTTTGTATAAATATTCGCAAATATAAAATAAAAAGAATCTAATAATAACCGATAGTCTGATGCAACTAAGGACATAATGTACATTTCTAATTATATTATAAGCGACTATTCGACAGTAATTCAAATAATTGAAGCTCGGCTTTGTTCGAATAACCAACCTATGTAAGACTTCGTTTACATAAATGGAGTTTCATTGTATCTAAATTAGTATACATCTCGACGTGAAATGTATTGTAGAAATATCAAATACGGCAGATTCTTATTCCATTTACCATTTCTCTAAATCATAGTTAAGAATAGAAAGAACAACGTGCCAGTGAACGTAAGGGAAAGTAATTAGGATGGAAAGAAGATAGCTGGATTACACTATGCTATGTATGTACCAGCGATGTTCTCGATTCTTTGTTACTTGTGTTCTCTTCTATTGCATAATATCATCGAGGTTTCTGATAGCCTGATAGTTTGTGTATCGCATTGATGTCTCCCGTGTACCATTATATAACGTCTATGCCCCACTGAACGTGTGGCATTACCATGTTACAAGACTCTCCTCTTTTCCTCTTTTCTTTCGTTTCATCCCTAGTTTCTTTTTTTGGACAATCAATCGATTGGCGAATAAATTCGATATTAATTTGTTTATTTATTTTTTTATATTTTTTCTGATATATTTCAAAGCGATTCTTATGATGATTAACTAAGTGATAAATCTTAATTGTTAATTGATTATTTTCTATTTTTTTTTCTTGTATCTACAGGATGATAATGTGGATAGGAATGAAATCAATTACTTTTTTTTTTTTTAATTTTTCTTTTTTTTCCAAAACTTATATTGATACAATTCGCACGATAGCTAATCAATAATATGCTTTGCTTTTAAATAGTCATCGACTATTTAATTTTATGAAAATTCATGAAAGAATAATGTATTCTTCAAGTATAGTAGCATTGTAATAATAATAATAATAATAATAATATGCAAAGGAAAAAAAGACTTTTTGTTTTTCGAAACATGTAAGCAAAACAGATTTATATTATTTTAAAACATCCAGACTCAAGAGAATCAAACGCTTTTCATATTATTATTTTCGCTTATTATTTTATTATTTTTATAATTTTTACAAATTAAAATCGCATCAATGGAAGTTATATTTATTTTCACAATAAATCACTATATTGCACGAAACAATGCTTCCAACTTCTCGATTATTTTTATTTATCATATATACACACACGTGAATTCTTTCTTTAGTAAATACAATAGGGGAAATTAATTGGAGAATCTCTGTGGATCGTGAGTTTTAATGAAGAAGGGAATAGACGACAATTTCTCGACGAAGATTTGTTGAAAAATAATAAAAATGGAGCTCAAGTTGAAGCGGATACGGTCGACAGTTGATTAATTGCCGCTAAATATAAATGCTGCGATAATAATACGAGAAGCTCGTAGGCGCACAAGCGTGTTGGTGAATTGCGTTGCAGAATGCAAGCCGTAACTTTCGATTCTCTCGGTGTCGAGGGGAACAAACTCGTGTATCACGAGCAATGAGAAATGCTTTTCCAGTTCTATAAATAGAGTCTTGCAATGTCTCTTGAATTCCTCGATCCCTTTTTGTAATATTCATATAACTTGCAACCCTCCTTGCAATCTCAATTATAAGGAAATTAAAAATTTGTGCATAAGCAATACTTTTCCAATTCTTTAAATTCATAAACTTTCTCGAATTCTAACCTTTTGATTTCTAACCTCTTTGTAAATATTTAAATAACTTGTAATCTTTCTTCAATTCCTTATGCATCCAATCCTCCTATAAAATTCTATATACGGTTAATTAATTCGATGTTAGGCGAAATTTATAACAAATACGAATAAAAAAAAAAATGATGCGATAGAAATTTCGACAAAGAGAAAGAATAAAGTTGAAGCAATTTAGAGGGAAGATGTCAAGCAACTATAATTCAGAATTCTTCCAGAAGATGTTAGCACTATCGTTAATACTAGTTCTTTTTTCATAACAAATGGTAAAAGAAATTATTTAAAATGATTATTGGATTTTGCATAAAGTGATTAGATGAAATTTGTATTTCTTTTGCTAATATTTGTAAAAATTAAAATGTTTAACGAATAGTCTTTATATTGGTAAAAATAATCTTTATATTGTAAATATATAGATACCCTATCTATATATTATATATTATAATGCAAATTGTGTATTGTAACATTTAATTTTTTTTAGTCTAACATAATCTAATCTCTTATGTTACAATTTAATCAACTAAATGCTCAGGATAAAAAAATAGTGTTTAATGTAAGTTTAATTTTTAATGTAACTCAAATTATTCAAAATCAAAATTATAAATAAATGATAATATTTAAATTTCCGAATCATGAAGAGATTGCAATAAAATTTAGTAATTTTTTAAAATTATATATTTCAACTAACCAATCAAAATTTATATAATATCGTTATAATTAATTTCATAATATATAATTTAGATAATAAATAAAATTCATTGATCTGATTTTAAAAACCTAGATATTGAACATTTTATAAATTTTAATAAAAAATTTTCTAAGTCTCTAATTATCTAATCTGCGAATCGAATATTATAAGTCACCTAATAAATATAAACGTGTGATGCACATTTATCTATAATTGGTTTCTATATAAACGAAGATGAACAATCGAATTGTATTTCCACGACTTTTCCACATCTCTACCCTATCTTTTCCCTCTTTCGACAAATTTTATTTCTAACCGTGCGAGAATAATGAACTCGATTTCCATTGTTCCTCTAAATGTCTGTAATCTATTGTTCGCCCTCTCCGCGAAACCACCTACGCGTTCAGGAACCAGCTATGAGTAATAACAGCCGGGATATTATGTAAAATGACCTATTTCGATTATGGATTTCGTTTCACCGAATTTCACCCACCGTTTCATTATTCATGTTGATATATCGATTTCGACAACAATATCGTACAATATTTTTTATTCTTTTTATCTCTAGTCATTGTTATGAAATATTTTTATCTTTGTGCTTTTGTACTTGTATGTATATTTTCTTTTATAATTATATCACGAAAAAAAGTGATAAAAGTGCAAATTAGAGAAGAATTACTATTGATTAGTGTCATTAATAAAGTTGCAAAAGAGTTAATAAGATAAAATAAATATTACTATTACTAAATCATGATATATTGATATATTAAATAAACAAGTGTCGAAAATTTTCATTAGAAAATAAATAGTTGCAAATAAAAATAAGAAAAACTTTATGATTTTCTTGAAAGTCACAGATTATAGGTTAAATTAGACAAAGATAAATTTATAAAATTATTAATTAAAATTACATATATGTTTGCATAAGTTAATTTATGTATTGTATAAGTTACACAAGAAAATTGATTTGAAAACATATAAATAGTTAAAAATCATAAAAATTCAAAGAAAAAATTGAAATGCATTATTGTAAATGCATCTTTCTACTTGTCAATTTCGAGAACACTCTCATAATCGATGAACACGAATTTCACGGGCAAACAGAGAAGTGGATCATCTTTTGAAGATTAGCAAAGTCGACGATAAACCGTAAGATCGATAAATTCATGGACATGACGAGTTATGTAAGCGCGATAGGACATTGCTTCCTTTTTATCCTTGATCACTTAATGGAATGGATAACGAACTGTGATAATTCGAAATTGTTTTTTGACAGTTACATTTTCGATATATAAATCGATGTGATCATGATTTCAAACAAGAATTTGTTTATTATAACTTTTATTAGTTTTTTTTTGTTTGCTCTAAATTGAATGATAAATTAAATGTGAAATTTATTATGTATTGTTATCCAATTTTTTAAATGAATTTTGTAAAATGCATTAATAATTTCAAATAGTAATATATATTTTCAACAGTCACGATTAGAAACCTGCTATAATTTTGCAATAATTTATTTCGATATCACGAATTTTTCACTAATATCGAAGTATGAAATATTATTCTAATAAATAGAATTCTAACCTAACTTTTTTTCAAATACACAAAATTTTAATGCTCAAGTAATTTTAAATAATATTACATATTTACAATAGTCACGATTAGAAATCTGCTATAGTTTCGCAATAATTTCTCGCGAACTTTTCAAGTATCAAAGTATGGGAAAGGTTAGCAAGCGGAGAAGTTACATAACTAACCTTCCAAGACGTTGCTCTTTCTGGCAAGCGTTATCCTTAATGTTGATATCGAACAACAGTTAAGATCGATCGATTTTATCGATTTTAATCGATCCTCTTTCATTCAACAATACATTTTTTTCATTAAGATTATGTTATAATGACTTTTATCATTTTCCTTTTTACCATGCAAATATACAGTTATTTGTTATTTACTCCATTCATTATTTATGGATAAGATTAATTAATTCTCTTCTCTCATTTCATAGTATCAGCCGATTGTACATGATGCAATTAATTAAGTCGATCCTTTTTAATCCTTTCTCGTGGAGTCGATATATGATACATCGATATATCGATGTATAAAGATATATTGCCGTAAGGTTCATTTTCATTTACTTGTTTATACTTATCCTTGATTTATGAGACAATTTAATTAAAGATTCATTCTGTCTAACATATCGATATGCGTTTGTATGTGTTGATAAATTGAAGATTAGACATTATAATAAATTACATCGTTGACCTTTTTATAATGTAATGTAATAATAATAAAGTATAATCTTCTTGTAAAACAAAATTCTTTTCATGTAATGCAATTTAAAAATCTTGTTACCTATCCAAGTTAATTTTTGAAAAATTTATTACCGAAATCCTTTTTATGTTTTTAATCTTTCATTGTCAATTTTGAACTTTTCTATATTCGATTTGTGATATATTATTTGTGTTTTGCTCGAAAATTGTTTTTAAAAATTTTATTAATTAGAAATTTTCATTTTGTTGCAAAATCAATTTTTTAAAAAAAAGAAATCATCATCGAAACCACATTTAATATATTTATTATATATTTTGAATAATATTTACTTCAATATTAGATATTTGTTCTATTTGATGATCAATGCATAGACACGTTTTAGTAATTAAAACAAAATTAATTTATTTATGTAATCCGTATTACATTACCGATTGAAAATTTAGAACTCTTTCCAATTATAATTATATCAAATTTTTTAATGATTTTCTAATTAATTCGAAATTAATGCTATAAATATAAAAAATAATTATAATTATTTTCGTAAACTTTACACTTTATAACAAATTCTAATACTAACGAAATTCTAATTTGATTTTTTTTTTTTTTTAGATTAAAATTTAAATCTCTATTCCATGGAACATATTAATGTGACGTGTTCCAAACTTTTAGTATACATATATTTATTATTTTACAGGAATTTGCTATAAATGCTATAAAGTAATCCATCGCAACAAGTTTAATAACAGCCATTGATCATTGCAACGCCTCATAAATAGATTCATGAGGTGAAAAGTTCGAAGTCATTGCTCTGTAACTGAATAAATGGCATTAGATTTGGTTGCAACTTCAAGCGCAACTCGTGTATCGAATTACAATGCGATTGTGATCCCATTCCTAACCTCTGCAGTAAAGCAACAGATTACACGTGAGTCGATATTTCTCCTTATAGTATTCTCATTATATTATAGCGGATAGTGTTGAAATTGTACAGAAAAAAAGTATTTCAGAAGAGAAAATCGTAGTGCATATGTGACTAGTATAAGGATATTAAAAGGTTAATAAATAATTATCAAAAATTGATCTATTATAAAAAATATTAAAGAAGAAGGAAAATTAAAGAAAAACTAATACAATAAATATAATTTATTCCTATGTTATAGTTGCTTCTTTTATAAAAAAAGTAGAAAATAATATAATGGTTTTTCTTAAAAATGAATATAAGATTAAAAATGTTCAACATTTTTTTTGCAAAGATTTTGTTTAAGCAAATTATTAACGAAAAATATTTATGAATTACAAAATATAATAAAATATAATGATATTTGAAATGAAAATATTCAAATATACAAATATTTACAGAAATTTTCATATAATTGTTTTCAATTTTTTTATTAATTATATATCATTTCAATAATGATAATTTCAATAATAATATTCATAATAGTACAAGTAAAATATTTAAGTTTTAGCGTTTTATCACCCTCTTATAAAAAGTATTTCCAAGCAATAAATTGTATATAAAATATGAAAAAATGATGAATATTTTAAAATTGATTTTATCCACTCAAAAAGACTATCTGCTGAAAAATAAATTGTTTTATGCATAATAGATTATACTCTACACAGAAATTTTTATTAAAATCAAATTCTTCGTGATAAATGATTATACATCAATTTTATTGTATAAAAACAACATGTCATATTTTCTTTTTTTTTATGTAAATAAATCATTATATAGAGATCAATATTTACATGCGTTATTCTATTTAAGAAATTACTAATATAATTGAACATTTTAAAGAAAAAATCTTATTCTCGTTTATCAACTATTATAGTCGAGCTCCATTAGCCGTGGAAGACGATGAATAATCACGTGCATTATGCTGTCAATAAATATCGACATGTTTTAAAATATCATTTTAACGAGCAAACAAGTGCGATTTATCGATTATGATCTTAGAAAAACGGTATGCCAACTATTTTACCTCTAAACGGAACTCTGTCGCCGTCATTACATAATATTTCCATCTTTTTTATCCATTAATTAAAATTCAAATTGCTCGATGAGACTCGATTACTTACATGTTAAAATTAAATTAAAAATAAGCAAGAAAATACAAAATTTATTTTTTCTATAATATACGATGGATTGTCATTTTTATTTCATTATAATGTTATCTATACTTTCTTTCTTTTATTTTATACTTTTATTTATATAAAATTATTCGAGGTTATCTTTTATATCTTTTTACAGATAACACTTTCAACTTTACTAATAAACGAGCAGAAATAAAATGATATCGACAATATGTGACATATGTTTCATATCTGCAGTGTACAAATTGTTTCACAATTATATCGATTTTCTTGGTATTCATATCTTCTTCAATTCCATTGTTTGCAACGAATTTTAATATTTTTTTATGTTTGATATATAATAAAAGTGTATTATATATTTCGAAATGAAATTAATTAATGTACTTAAACGAATACAATAATAACAATTCTCATAATAATCTTTATATATATTTCTCTTGATATCTTAATTCTAGCAATTTCCTCATTGCATTGTTCAATAGATAAAAATAATATTTCTTGCACTTCTATGCGATATATATTTCATTTTATTATATCTTGAAATCAACATGTTTTTCTTTTTTCGTTGAATCATATACTTTAATTGGTGCAAATTTAATTAGTCTTTCCGTGTCGAACAATGATTTAAAAATTAATTAAAAATAAAAATTGAATTTCGTACAAGTCAATAAGACTACATAGATTAGATAATTATCAATCGACTGGATAAAATCTGTGCAAATTTGAAAATTTTCTAAAATCAAAATTTATTAAAATTTTTACAAATTCATAAAATTTTTTATAAAAAATCTTAAAAAATTAGGTTTCGATTTATAATTTTTAATTTTGACGAATATTGTAAATCAAAGAATTTGTAAAATTTGAAGAATTCAATTCAATAAAAATTTCCATATATTCTTACAAACTTCCACAAACTCTTCCATATCTTGCATGTCGGCCGTCATTCGTCGTCCATCTTTCTTGTTCAGAATGCAAAGGGTGCAACTTTCAGAACGTTTGCACGCATACGTGGAAGGTGTGCATAAAGCCATGTACCTTGATGCTTCTGTTGAGGGCGTGGCATGATTAATTATGAAACATGCATAATGCATGGAATGTATGGTTCAGTATTTGAATCCATGCTTCTTCGATTTTGAACTTGTTGCATTCTTAAAAATAACATTGTATCTACATTTGTTATGTAAAATAATTATTCAAGTACTAAAACTTCAAGTACTAAAAAACGCAAATTCTAGAAATTGGAAGCTAATATAATTTTCAATGCATGTAAGTATTTTAGAACATGGAATTATTATATTATAGAAACAAAATTACTAATAATCTTTAGTCTGTTTAGATTAGAACAATAATTATAGAATGAATATAATTATTGAAAACTTAAAATTTATAATATTTTTAGATTAATTTTGATTAGTTTAAATTAAAATAAAATATAGATATTGAAAACTTAAAATTATTAATAATAATTTTTGGTTAAGTTATTATAAAAATAAAACTTCAAAAATGAAATCTCAGATAAAATCAAATTACTTACTGTTCCATACTTGAAAGCAAAGATTTTTAATAAAAGTTTATTCATGTAAATAAATAAACCTCAACCAACCTTTTTGGTGTTTACATTTGTTTTATAATTAACCTTTTTAGTTATTTATCATATATTAACAATAGTGTTATATAAAAGCCTCACATTTCTTCCTTTCTCTTCACATCTATTAAAAAGACAAAAAAGCAAGAAGTAAATTCATAGTTAATTATGTTAAAAATAAAATTTCAAATATAAAATCTGATTACTGATTCAAGACGATAATATTTGGATCGGGAAAACCTTCGAGAAATCATCTTTCCTTCCTCAAACTCGTTGCCAACATTTCAATCATGGTCGTACGTTACCTCGCTTAAGTCCACGTGCGATATCTACAGTTACAGGTGGAGGTGTGGCAGCGGTCAGAAGCGATAAAATTAGAGAGATAAATGAAATAAGGTGAAGGATGGCGTGTTGAATACAATGTTGCGTATCAAAACTGATCCGAGTCTGTTCCATGTCCCGAGTGAGATATGGGCCATCGTTTCTTAAACGATGATGGAAAATGTTTGGTTATTTGATTGTTTGGTTATTTCGATGTTTCCATGATTAAATTATTCTCTCCTTTCGTCCCTTACGGGTTTCAGCTGAGTTTAAGTACTAAATAAGTTTACGAATTGAATTTTAACAAAGTTTACCTTTTTGAGATCTTTATATATTCTTTGTTTTATTCGTGAATCGTAAGTAGGTAAGTAGGAAAGTAGGTAAGTAGTATTTCAACTGAATTTGACTAGAGTCGTGACTATCGATTATTATATCGATATTTTATCGATTATTGATAGTTTACAATATATTAATAGTTATCGTTGAGAAGAGAAATTACTAAAATTTCTATTTTTATTATTATATAAATTATTATTAAGATAAAAATATTATCTAATAATAAATTGTAATGAAAATAGACTTTATCAAATAAAAATTATATATATATATATATATATATATGTCAAATCAATAAAAAGAAAAGAAAGTAGGAATTTTAATTATTTTCATTTATTATTGATATCTTATTATCGATATTATCGATATATCAAATTATCAATATTTATTGAAAAATTATATTATAGTTTATTTAAGTTTATTTATTTTTATTCATTTTATTAATATTTTAATAATATTTTAAATATGTCAATGAATTAATAATAAAAAAAATTTTTAATAATTTTCATCTATTATCTTAACTGTTATTAAAATCTCTAGTTACTTTCATTTATTATCGATATTTTACCAATATTATCGATATCGATAGACAACTTTATTTTGGACAAATTGTATTTATTGATTACGACTAAATAAATAATTTCTATATCAAACATTTATAAAAATAGAATTCTATAAATAATTAATTTTTCATTAATATTAAATAAAAAAAATTCTAATATTACATTTCTTCAAAAAATCTAATTCGATTTATCGAAAACCGTTTCGATTCGAGAAATTCTTCAGAAAGAAAGAAGCTTTACGAAAAAAAAATAGTTCCACGAGTGATTCTAAGGAGAATTACCTGTAATTCAGCTGCAGAAAAAATCTTACTATCATTAAGCTTATATAAATCTCGAAGGAATGAGCGAAGAATTTCTTTCATTTCAAATCTTCCTTTCATCTTTTCAGATTTTAGATCAAGGAAACCTCTCCCAAAAGGTTAGACGAGACTGATGGAAAAATCGGTGGAAAGGACGTAATATGCGTGATATTCGCGTCACGTCGTTTCGTTCCACGCTTGATCCAACGAATTCGTAACGAGGGACGCTGTAACGCCTTGTTACAGAACTACCGCTCACGTAACAATCGGCACGTTGAGTAACTCGTTCCTTCGAGTTAGATGTTACGAGCTTTACACATCGAAGCCTACATAACCTGCTTTACCCACCACCATCGTTTTACGTTTTGGAAAAAGGAACAAAAGGATTTAGATAGTAGAATAGAATTGTGACTATCGATATCTCGTCAATAATTTTTAGAGAATTAATTTTACTGTGAGAAAAAAAAAAGAGAAGGAAAAGAGAATTGAATGATGGTAAAATAGAGATGATGAATGTCGATAACAATATCTCTTAACCTTAAACTTAACAAAATTTATTATTAATTATTAATCCATAGATAATCGTAAACATATTAAATAATAATTTCGAATAAGGAAAAAAAAAGGAATTTCAATTCCTACTTTCATTTGTTATCGATATTTTTATTATCGATAGCAATATCGATAGTCATCTCTATATATCAGAAATGTTACACGTATAACTATTGTGTGTTAAACGATTCTTGAAAATTACATAATCGTAATTCGATGAGAATACCGAATATTCAAATCTGGAGATAGATAATCCACAATTATTGAAACATGAAATTTTTCGTCTCGTTTAATTGAAAATTTTGTTCGATTATTCGCAAATTTTTATTCTCACGTAATATGTAATTATATTCATACTCGTAATGTTATTTATAAATTTTTATTTTTACACCAGAGCTATGATTATTCAATTTTTTCCTTCGGTAATTTTGTTACAAGTTTAACGAAATGAATGCGAATGAAAATCGTTACCACACATTATTGAAGGTTTCGAGATAACGACAATATTTATCGCCAGGATAATCTCGATAATTTCCAAACTACTAACGCCGGTTTATATATATAACTTAGCAGAGTTCTTTAATCGTTATTTAACGATTTTACCTGGATAATTTGAGAAACTTACTCGTAACTGAACTTAACCATTATGCAAGAGGATTTTTTCTTACCAGCTCGTGTCTTGTGAAAATTTCATTAGTAGCATTAATTCAATTGTGCTAGAGAGTTCTAGCACAGAAGCTTTTTTTTTTTTAATCGAACCACACGTGGAAACACACGATTCCATGTAATATTCGATGAATGATTGTGATTGGATTTTTTTTCTATTTTTTTCTCCGTTACTTTCACGGATATAAATAATAGAGAAACGAATCGAGTGAAAAAAGAATACGTTAGATCTTTTTCCTTTCTCTAGAAATATACCCGAACGAGCGGATTTATTTTAAAATGTTTTCAACTTTTAAAATACGCATGAAAAAAAAATCACGAAAAGCGAAAAAAAAAACAAATTTTATCTCCTCGAATTAACGCATGAAACATCATTTTCCGAACACGTTAACGAATTTGCATTCCACGATATTATTTGCCACGACATTACGTAAGATTATATAGATATGGGTTATTGCGTAACGGCCATTAATGCATTTAACGACTCTTACGTTGTCGTATATTAGGCGGTTTTGAATTTGTATGTACACTAACGTTCAAAAGTATAGAATACAGTTTTCTATTTTCTTCGAAATCTTCGATATTTTGCAAACTTTGTTACTTTAACGAACTTAATACCTTTCTACTCACCGTGAATCGTTCAATAATCGCCAATGTTGGACATATCTTCGTACATTTTTCGTTCTGGTATCTCGAATCTGTTTGGAAATTTCTCGAGATCAAGCGCGTTGATACTTTTGACCGGAAATGTACAAATCCAGCTGGAAGGCTCGTAAAAACGTCATCAATCTTCTTATTTCGCCAATCAATTCGGCGTAATTGAATTAAATGTAAGTATGTTTTTCATGAAACAAGAAAAAAAAAAAAGAGATTTACGAAAATGAAAATGACTTATAAAAAATTATATTCGTAAGAAATTATCATGATCGTTAATCATGTTAGGTTACGTTCACCCAATCACTTTTTTATTAATTAATTTTAACGTCTTTATGCTTTCCGCTCTCTGTTATTTGCTGAAACGTGTGAAATAAATCTTTACATCTTGAATTAAATATAATTATTATTGAAAATTTTATAAATAAATTTTTATGAAAAATACAACTCGAAATCTCGTATTCTTATTTAATTAACTAAATTATTTGAAATTTTGTACGCCTACAATACGAAGTATTGCATCAGTACAAACGCGGTTTAGCAGCGATACCCTACGCGTGCATCCGGTGTCGTTTCGAAAGCGGTCGCGAGCCGCTCGTTACCGTCATTAAAAGGCCTCATTAATGAGAATCTTCATTGTATTTCGACGTGCACGCACGCCAATACATTCACTTTTTGTCGCCGATTTCTCGATTCACGCCACCGTCCAGTTTCGATCGATGTTTCATGCGTGTATAACTCGACAATTATGTTCGAGTAATTTTACAATGTTGCACCATATGATGTCGAAACGAGAGAGAGAGAAAAGAGAAAAGGATCGATATATCATGACTCATAGTAATAATCAGCCATATTTTTGCATAAACTTGTGTATATAATATATTGAATATATATATATATAAAGCTATGCAACTTAAATCTCAAGTTGAGTCATCCAAATTATTTCCAAATTTGGAATCAATCAAATTGGGTCCTCGAAATTTGGGACCACACAAATTGGATCCTCCAAATTTAAGACCAAATTCAAATTGAATCCTCTTATTTCGAATCACATAAATTCTTTTAATTTGGGCCCACTCGAATTGGGTCCTCCAAATTTGGGACTACTCAAATTGTATCCTCCAAGTTTGAGACCATTCAATTTGAATCCTCTTACATTGAATCACACAAATTAAGTTTCTTAAATTGGGATCATACAATTTT